AGAGATGTTACATCTTTTATTTAGAATGGTCAAGCAAATTGTCATACAGAATGGAAATATTTATTCTAACAGCCTATATAATATTAATTTCTTCTTCTGATTCTAATAGTTTCAAAAGGAGTATAATTTTTTCTTTCTCTACATGAAGTGTCCATGAGAAATACATGAATAGCTTCACTTGTTGAGAGAGTTAGTACTATCTGGAACATGTCTATTGTTAACAAAACCATATTGGTGTAAATATATAAGCATGAGGATTTATTTCATTTATAGGGTAGAATCATTTTTTTTATTTTTCTGAACATACAATGAGGGATAGAAAAAGAGTAAAAGTTGAAATAAAACATATTTATTGTAGTAAGACATATTGTCATTAATCAGCCTCAACACATACCCTTTTGTTCAAACACAAAGAGGTCGTTGTTCTTGCTACTCTGAGACTCAGTTCTGACAGTCTCCCTCATGAAGGTGTTGAAGAAGGGTGATCAAAAATTGACTAATGTTGCTGCCAAATTCCACGCGCTAAAAGACAGTCTTATAAAAACAATGTGACAGGTGTCATCCAACTTACTCAGCGAATCTGTAACAGGGTGACTTCTGGCTCTTCTCCAACATCAGGATGACCTTCAAAGGTAAATCTTGTCAGTGGGTTCAGGACATTAAAGCATCCACAAGAGTGCAACTGAAGATATTCATGAAATATGACTTCAACAACACCTTCAGCAAGTGGCAATAACAATGGAATACATTCATTCCCCATGAAGGATAGTGTTTTGAAAATGATTAATGGCACTGTATCCTTTACTTGTTAAATTTATGTTTATTTAAATATATGCTGTTTCTTGGTCATACCTTGTTCTGTTTGTTTAGTCCATCAATTCTAGTGGAGTTTTAATATTCTTGAAAGTCATGTGGAGCTTTATCAATGAGTTCACAAAGCAAGATTTCTTTGTCAAACCTTCAAAATAAGACCCATAAACTTCAACCAACTAAGCTCAGTTTTTCTTTGCATTCTGAGTTCTGCTCCCTCATGCTTTAGTTGAAGTCATGGTCCACTAACATCTACAGAATCTTGTAGATTCTAAGGAACAGAAAATTGAGGTTATATTTTATTAGTTGTGATTTTTGCACATATTTATATTATTCAAATGTAATGACCTATATCATTAATAAATGCTGATTTCTCAGAAAATATATATCTATATGTGGAAATATGTCAATTTCATATTAAAATTAATTAATTCATAGATTTTTATATTGTTTTGAATAATTATTTACTTGAAGTTCTTAACTGGAAGTTCTTAAATTCTTTTCCATCCCCAGTAAATATTTACATATAATTTATCTGCTTGTATGGATAATTTTACCTCATTTTAGTGAAAGAGAATCCTCAACCAAATTAGACTTTAAAACACATACGATGTAGATCTAGCCTTGCTCATAAAATGTTTTTTTGTCAAAACACATGGATTTATGAGTATTTAATTTTATATGCTTTATATCACTAAATAATAATAGTAAGATGATAGTTTTTAAATACATTGAAATATTCATTTGATCATTTCCATAACATGTATTAATAGAGTTAATGATAAAATAAGTAATATCTGTCATATCTCTCAAAATCAAATGAAACTCAGTATCCTGCATTTTACTTGGAATTCCTAACCTTATTCAATTCTATTTGATGAGATCAGTGAAGCATTTTATTCATGTCCTAACTCCCTTTTTACTTATGTTATCTAAATGCCACATCGAACTCTTACCAATCTGATTGATCTGGGATATTTGTTCAGTGCATTGACTTTTATACCAGTAACAAAATACTACTCCAAGAGTCCCCAGTTCACAGGGAGATACTGAATTTTGCAGTGTATTTAAATGAGTCAGGTGTCATTGACCATGAGTGTCTGCAGTCAGAATCCATTAGTAAGGGAGACTTAGCAATTCTAGGTGAGCATCAAAAGTCAAGGCGATTCTTACTCATCTTGAAAGAAGAATCAGATTTCCTTTTCTGAAATCACTCTGACTTTGTGTTTCTGAATTTGAGTTTGGATAAAAGAATTTAAGGCTCCTTATCCTATGTGTGATGTTCCCTGAGGAAATAACACAATTTATTCAGTTCATTCTGCATAAATCATCGGAGAGTCTTAAAATTTGCTGTGATGACCCCGCTGTACATTACCCCATGAGAAGGTGTCAGGAAGGCTCAATGAAAGGAACAAACAACCTAAATGATTGGAGCAGTTCCATGGAGACTTCAGAGATTTAGAGGGATTTGTTTACCCACTTACACGGAGTCAAATAGCAGAGTAGCTGTGGGGAAACTTTCGCCTCTCTTTACCACTGTGAATGGGGGTAGCTACAGCATCAACAGGAAATTTTAAATTTTGTCAACCTTATCACTTAGAATTATTTCTCTCTTTTTATCCGGGGCTTGGCCAGGCCCCCAAATACATGAGATAAAAGAGACAGAAACAATAATTTAGAATGCAAGGGGATCTGGAGTGAGACATGCCTCTAGTGTACACTCTCAACAATCTCTGTGTTGACCACTTGGGTTAGAAAGCCAAAAGCACTGGAGGAGGGGTCGTGCATCACTCGTGGGACAGTGACTGCCAGTACATATCAGTAAATGCATAACTTATGAGTAATGAGAGCAAGATTAATGGGAAACAGATCCCCCCTCTCCCTGGATGCTTATGTTTTTTAGACATTGTCCTCAGCTGAAGTTATCTTGCCCTAGAAGTGCTGTGCTTAGGAATTTTCCCACACAGCCAGATTTCTTGTGATTTTTTATTACCTTTTCTGTTCCTGAAGCAAGTTATATCGGCTTTGGATTCTATAAGACACAAATCACATAGCTTGATCTCCAACATTCTTTATATTTTAATAAAATGTGGAGTAAGCCTTGAATTAAAATATTTCATTTAACTCATGCATGTGAGATAGTTTCAGAGTATACAAAGCTATGATGAATTGTGTACTTTTCTTGAAGTCACATGAACAGTAACTGAAACATATGAAATGTATAATGTCTACATGAATGAGAGACATGTTTTGTCCTTTCTTTAGGCAGAGGGATCACATTTTTGATGAGGCAATGATTTACTGCAATGATTACTCAGTGATTTTCTTTCTTTCTTTTTTTTTTTTCTTTTTGGTACCAGGGATGGAACTCAAGTCCTTGCGGTTGAAGGCAGGCGGTGGAACCAGTGAACTAAATCCCCAGCCCAGTGATTTTATTTCTTGAGCTGAGATCTAAATTGAATCATGTTTAGTGCAATCACATCGATAGTGCAATCTGCTAAATACCACGCCCCTCATATCACATATAAGAAACATACACTCTTCCTTTTATAAGAAGAACAATCAGGGCCATTTACACATGAAAATTGGAATGTTAATGAACAAAATAATCAGGTTTGATTCAAAAAAGATTTCATGTTTACTTATTACCTTATTTATGATATAGATTATTTTCTTATTTTACTGTAATTAAAGTTACTTATTCCATATCTCTGATACTGTTGTTCTCGAGCTAGTATCTTCACATAAAGTTCAGGGAGACTATGAGCTTACCGTGTAGCCCTGCTTAGCTTAGAACTCTCCACAATACTTCCTCAGCCTCCTGAGTGCTAGAAGTACAGAAGTGCCCCACCACACTCAGAATATCTGGTATGGATTTTTAAAAAATTATTTTCAGAAAGAATTTCAAGGTAACACTTCTTCACATTTTTTGGTCTTATGTAGTCTATTCTCTCAATTGTACCTACAATTAAAAATATATTACATATCTTGTTTTTGTTGTACCTGTTACTGAGATTATATTAATAATTTTTGTCAATGTCTTGTTTCTAAAGGGATTCACTTAGGGGAGACTATGGTGATTTGTTGGATATGTCATCCTCACATATTTTATGTATAATCCAATGTTATAATAATGTAATAAACATTTTGTATGAATAGATCAAAGTTGTATCTTATTTTTAAAATTAATTTTATTGGTGCAATTTATGTATAAAATATAATTATTAATGTTACATTGTCATTTTCAGGAGCCCTGTTAGTTTATTTCATCTTAAATTTGTTTCCAATAACAATCATATTTCTGTTAAATCTTCTTACATCTATAGATGCTATCTTAAAAAACTTACCTGCTTTTTCTATGACCAGTTTCATTTCAGGATTATTTATCTCCTGAAGAGGGTTCAATTTTTGTATTCTTTACAGGTCTTTTATTTGTGATTATATGGTGAATATTGTATATTTTATTTTAAATGATATTGGTATTCTTTATTTTCTTCAGAAAGATTATTAAATATTAAAGAGGACAAATGTGTGCAACTGAAAACTTGTTTCTTAGGCTCAAAACTGCCCTCAGTAGCTTTTCCTCTAAGATCTGTACTATACTCCAGATAATGAACTAAAATGCTCTACATGCTGTTTTTTAAGAACTCAGATATTTGCCTGTACAAAAATCCACACATAATCCATATATATGCTGGATATGTGCAAGAAATTCACTTTTTGAACTGTAACTTGAGATTCAGTACATACAAAAAAAGAGATAAAGAAATGTATCAAAAATCAAACCACAACTATCAAGACAAATCGAACACATAGTTTACTGACATAGAATGTAGTGCTATTTCATTTGAAGATTAAAAGTTTCTAGAGCAGAAATATTGAGTAAAATCCAGGGAATGTTGGGGAAGAAGTGACATGTAATGGATATTTTAAATTTGAGGGTAAATTGGGATATAATATCTATCTATATACACACATATATATGTATATATATATATATATATATATATATATATATATATATAATCATTCTCAAGAGAATGAATTTGCCTGTGCAGCTAAAAATATATTCCTGTCATGTAGCAATGCTGTCAAGTGACAATGCCTTTTTAGTCTTATTTTTTTCAAATGACATTTCTTTTCTAAAAATCCTAGTTGACTAGGCTAACATTCTATAAGAAACTCTAAATTCAAACTTTAAACTTCCAGAAGACCCTGTAGAAGGCATTTTTTACTTCCTTATTTCTAATGCTATAGATAAATGGGTTTAGCATGGGAACAACTAGTGTGTAAAACACAGAGGACAGTTTATCAATTAAAGAGGGCTGAGTAGATTTGGGCTGCACGTACATGAAGAAAACAGTCCCATAGAAGACCACCACCACGGTTAGGTGAGAAGCACATGTAGAGAATGCTTTTGTTCTTCCTTCTGCAGAATGCATTCGACATACAGCTAAGAGAATCATAAGGTAAGATAATAGTACTCCAAGGAGTGTGGATGTCACATTAAATATTGCTAATTGGTTGATCAATGATGCTATATCGGGTCCATTTGAGCACAGCATAAATGAAACAGAAATATTATCACAGTAGAAATGGCTGAGAAGATTGGTACAGAAAGTCGATGTAAAAATTTTACTAGTAAAGAACAGACCCTGAAAGATACTGTAGAGGTACGGAATGCCCAGCAGCACGTGGCAAAGTCTCTGAGACATGATGACGTTGTAGAGCAGAGGGTTGCAGATGGCCACATAGCGGTCATAGGCCATGGCGGGCAAGATGAAAAGTTCACTGACAATGAATGCAATGAAGAGGGCCATCTGGGTGGCACATGCATAATAGGAAATGGTATTTTGTCCTGTAACAAAATTTAGCAGCATTTTGGGATAAATGGTGGTGGCATCACCCAGATCCATGTAAGCCAAGTGTCTGATAAAAAAATACATTGGTGTGTGTAAGTGGGAATCCAGCTTGGTCAGAAAGATCATGCCCAGGTTGCCCACCACTGTGAGAACATAGATGATGAGGAAGATCAAAAAAAGGGGGAGCTGAAGCTCAGGTAGCCTGGAGACTGGACTCAGAATGATGTCAGTTGGCACCGTTAGATTCTGTCTGCCCATGAAGCTCAGATATCTCTTCTGGGAGAGAAAAAGATGATGTTGTGTCTTTTATTCAGAATGGTCAAGCAAATTGTAATATTCATGGACAGAAGGGAATATTTATTCTACTGAGCCATAGAATATTAGTATCATTTTCTGATTCTAATAATCTAAAGAGGAGTATAATTTTATTTCCCTAAATAAAGTATCCATGTGAAATACATGAATAGATTCAATTTTTAAGAGAGTCCATGCTATTTGGAATGTGTCTATCATTAACAAAACCATATTGGTGTAAATATAGAAACATTAGGGCTTTTTTCATTGCCATGATGGAACCAGTATTTTTTTCCTGAATATAAACAGGTAGATGGAAAAATAGAGTAAAAGCTGAAATAAAACATATCTATCTCTTACAGTAAGACACATTGGCATTAATCAGCCCTAAATCATACCCTTTTGTTAAACACACAGATGTCATTGTTCTTGCTACTCTGAAACTCAGTTCTAACAGTCTCCTTTCACGGATGTTTAAAGGAGGTGCGATCAAAAATTAATGAATGTTGCTGTCAACTTCCGTGCAATAGAAAGGTAGTCTTATAAAAAGAATATGGTAGATTCCTCCACTTTGCTCACCACATGTGTCACAATGAGACTTCCGGCTCTTCTCCAAGGTCAGAATGACCTTGAAAGGTAAACCTTCTCAATGCATTCAGGACACCAAGGCAGCCAGAAAGAGCACAACTGAAGATACTCACAAGATATCACTTTTCCTTCAGAAAGTGGCAATAACAATGGGATAAATAATTTCACCATCATTGATAGTGTTTTTAAAATGATTAAGGCAGTGTGTCCTTTACTTGTGAAAGTTTGTGTTTATTTAATAATAAATTGTTTTCTTGATCATTCCTTGTTTTGCCAACTTAATCCATCAATTTTTGTGAAGATCTAATATTCTTAAAAGTCCCATGGAGTTTTATCAATGAATTCACAAAAGAAGATATTTTTGTCAAACCTCCAAAAATAAGACATAACCTTCAATCAGTTAAATTCATTTTTCTTTGCATTCTCAGTTCCATTCTTTCATGTTTAATTGAATTCATGGTGCTTTAACTTCTACAGACATTGGTAGAGTTCAAGTAACAGAGAATTGAGGTAATGATATTTTGCTTGGTATTGATTCCATAACTATAATATCCAAAATTAAAGGCAGGTATCATTGACGAATGCTGCCTTCGTATATAAAAACGTATCTGCCAGTATGTGAAAATTATCCATTTCATTATCAAAATTAATTAAAAAATATATTTTCTATTGTTGCACTAATTATTTACACTTGAAGTTCTTAAATTGTTTTTCACTCTCAATATTTAATTACATTCTTTTATCAGCTCTTAGGTATATTTCACTTGGTATTAGTTAAAGAGAATCCACAATTACATTAGACTTTAAGACACACAAGATGTAAATCTATTTCTGCTCATACAAGTGGTTTTAGTCAACACATAATGAGTTTGAGTATTTAATTTTATATACTTTATATCATTAAATAACATTAATAAGAAGACAGTTTTTTAATACATTGAAATATTCATTTGATCACTTTTATGACACATTGATAGTTTTAAAAATATTTCTGCAATTTCATAATGGAATAAAAGTTGACACTGGGACGGTCAAATATTTTAGTAAAAAGTGTTACACTTCATTTCACAACAATAATGTAAGAAAACTGTAAATCCACCAGAACTGACGAAAGGTGGGGACGCCTTCAGCCTAAGCCCTTGAATTCTCTTCCTGTCACATTCAGTACCAGCTCAGTGAAAACCTGGACCTGTGTCAGTATCATATTTTGTTGGAGAAGAAATGGGATATCACACTTCTGTTCCAGGAATGCAGAATATGAGTGTTTACTGGGCCGTCCCTGTCCCCTCCACAGACACCAGGTATCTGCTTCTTGGATCCCAGCATTTAGTGGGCTAGCACAGCTCGGAGAAGCTGCCTCGCAGAGCACAGCGGACTCCAGCGGGCAGGAGTTTGGGGAATCTGCTCACAATGGTGCCCATCCGCATCTCTGAGTCAGGAAGTGGAGCTGGGCTC